CTCAAAGCGAAACTCAAAAACGAATGTATCGTATTCAATTCAATTTTCTCGAATATCGACTGAAAGATGAGGAACGGTAACACTGATATGGTCACTAAACAGTAAAATGAAATGCAGGTCCAGAACGTGCATTAGAGGAGGCGTCGCATGTGTTGGTGGTGCATGACTCGACGTTAACCGGTGACTATATTCACCATCGCGTACTGCATTTATTACATCGATATCCGCATCTAACATCATCTTTAGTCATCAATAAAATTGATCTTGTTCAACGAAGGTTTCTTCATTTTGCTATTTCGACACATCTCACAACTGCTTCCATTCAATTTCAGCACTTTTATTGCGTCTTTTTACTATCTTCTCTCTCTCGATATTCAGTCATTTTTCGTGCCAGAACTTTGACAAGAAATGTAAAACCTAAATGAATTTTTCAATCTAATCCACTGCAAAAGTATGATCGCCTTTGTTTCATAGCCATTAAAATGTCACTTAATTTTTATAGATTATAATCAACATCCTCAGAAAGAAACAGGTAATAGTGAAGACCTACTTGAAAGTAGCGTTGTAATCGTGCGCTCAACAATAATAAAGGCAGCATTGATAAGCATAATAGTAACAAAAGTCATATTAATAGTAACGGTATTAGTAAAAGCATTTAGATCTGATCTACTCGAACTTGTACGGATTTTATGCAATAATCAAGTTGGTGGTGAAGCGATAAAAGTGATGAAAAGTCGAATGGGTCGATTGGAAAAACTGGCTAGTGGAAGTGGAAGGAGAAGACGGAATGAGGAGACAACGTTGACATTGCATATGGACGAAGAGAGGGAGCGTAGTGAACAATGGCGTACGAAATACAGGTGATTTACAGTTTGGCATTCATAAATGTTGGAACCCATTTTGATTTTGAAGCTTCGTCGCTTTCTCAAATGTATTTCGTAGTATTATTGTGAAGAAGAATATATTGAGAACAATCTTGATGAATAGCTGGTTAAAGGGCTTTTTTC